CAGGCATGGTAAATGTGCATGGGTGAGGATATGCCTGATTTGAACCTAATGTACATGTGATGCATCATCTATGGTGAATGATCTTCACCATGTTGAAATCCTTGAGACATGTCCTTATCCTGTCCATTGGTCTTGACGTGGTGTTGAAATGGGTAAAGTCTGATGTGAAATGGGGGGTGCAGAGGCAGAATGTGCAGCTAGTTACAGTGCTCGATCGGAATACTACAAGAAGTGACGATGGAGTGCATGCAACATCTGAGCCACGCCAGTACAGCCCAGAGAGAACCCAGCAGTCAGTCTGCAGTAGTGGACGGCCACTGACTGATCTCTCTCTGCTATATGGCTGAATATCTGAATGGCTGTGTGCCGCAGCAAGGTTCGCAGCAGGGCCGTGTGATTAACAATGGCTACTGCAGTGTGGCTTTGTGGCATTCGTCAGTGGACTACATCGCCACAATTACCAGGTCTAGTTGAGAAGTTGACCTAGCTAGGCAGTTGTACTGGGTTACTGGGGCCCTGCCGAGTCTTGATCTTGGTGACCAATGCTGTAGTCATGCACCTGTTGTATTCGCACGTTCAGGTAGCAGTCTTGAACAGGTGCCACGCATGCAACATGACTGAGATCGTAATGTGCATTGGGTACATCATCCTTGTGGTGTGGCCAGCACTAGGCTGTAGGAGTATGTGCTGCACTGTGCAATATTATAGTGTTCCTCCACACATGGAGTGTCTAATCGTATACTGCTGGATGGAGAGTGCAGCAACTTTAGTGTATAGTTATGAGCGACTGTGAATGAGGCTGTATATCTTGTACATCATGCCTAACCACAGTTAGGGTATGGGCACCAGTATAACACTGAATATGACGGTTAACCATCCCGGCTCCTCAGTGGTGGCGCGCTTTTCAAATCCTCTCTCAGAATAGCCTCTGCTACTTGTGTGTGTATGCACACCTGTACTGCTGTGCAAGTGTGTGTACTTGTGTCCATGTGACATGCTGCTCTCCTTGTTTAGCACTAGCACTGGTATAGTACTGTGGGGTAGTGTAGTACTCGCAATGCCCTGGGCTCCACGTGTGCGCCTGCAGGCTATGTGGGAGCTATGATCATGTCCACTGGCCTGCTGGCCACTATATCCACTGGGCTGTAATTGCTGTCTTGTGTGTTCATTATGTGAGAAACTGACCATGTACCTGTGTAGCTGTGTGTTGTCATGACTGTGTGTGTGTGTTGCCCAGTGGTATAGCCAAGGCTCTGTGTGTATAGCTGTGTACAATGTACATCTGTGTATTGGTTGGTGGCAGCAATAGCGTCAGTCATGTAGATGTACTCAAATCTGCTAGTAACCTCTGTGGAAGGGGCTTGCCCCTGGGCAAAGTCTTGCTCATCCTTTCCGGCAAGATGATTTTGTTGTGTAGGACGTGCTGAATGGTGCCTGTCTGCCAGGCTGGTTTAAAAGTCATGGCCGGCAACACACACACACACACGTTCACACGCACACATGGACACACACACACGTTTAACTTATATACACAGTTTGGGTAACACAGCCTACTCCTCTGTGAGCTTAGCACTACTCCACACTATTGTGCTATGCTAGGATGTTGAATACCAGTCTAATAGTGGAGTGGGGTGCAGAATCAAGTTCCTTGTGCACTACATGATATTGTATTGGTGGCGCGACTCCACGGGCTGATGTGCTGTATACACAAGCACCACCACCAGCACCACCACCACCAGCACCACCACCACCACCACCACCACCACCACCACCACCACCACCACCACCACCACCACCACCACCACCACCACCACCACCACCACCACCACCACCACCACCACCACCACCACCACCACCACCACCACCACCACCACCACCACCACCACCACCACCACCACCACCACCACCACCACCACCACCACCACCACCACCACCACCACCACCACCACCACCACCACCACCACCACCACCACCACCACCACCACCACCACTAGCACCACCACCACCACTAGCACCACCACCACCACCACCACCTCCACCACCACCACCACCTCCTCCCCCCACCACCACACACACCACCAGCACCACCACCACCACCAGTCGCAGTCAGTGGGGCACCACCACCAGCACCACCAACACCACCAGCACCATCACCACCACCCCCCCCCCCCCCCCACCACCACCACCACCACCACCACCACCACCACCACCACCACCACCACCACCACCACCACCACCACCACCACCACCACCACCACCACCACCACCACCACCACCACCACCACCACCACCACCACCACCACCACCACCACCACCACCACCACCACCACCACCACCACCACCACCACCACCACTAGCACCACCACCACCACTAGCACCACCACCACCACCACCACCTCCACCACCACCACCACCTCCTCCCCCCACCACCACACACACCACCAGCACCACCACCACCACCAGTCGCAGTCAGTGGGGCACCAGCACCACCAACACCACCAGCACCATCAGCACCACCACCACCCCCACCACCACCATCACCACCACCCCCCCCCCCCCCCCACCACCACCACCACCACCACCACCACCACCACCACCACCACCACCACCACCACCACCACCACCACCACCACCACCACCACCACCACCACCACCACCACCACCACCACCACCACCACCACCACCACCACCACCACCACCACCACCACCACCACCACCACCACCACCACTAGCACCACCACCACCACTAGCACCACCACCACCACCACCACCTCCACCACCACCACCACCTCCTCCCCCCACCACCACACACACCACCAGCACCACCACCACCACCAGTCGCAGTCAGTGGGGCACCACCACCAGCACCACCAACACCACCAGCACCATCAGCACCACCACCACCCCCACCACCACCATCACCACCACCCCCCCCCCCCCCCCACCACCACCACCACCACCACCACCACCACCACCACCACCACCACCACCACCACCACCACCACCACCACCACCACCACCACCACCTCCTCCCCCCCCCCCCCCCCACACACACACCACCAGCACCACCACCACCACCACCACCAGTCGCAGTCAGTGGGGTACCACCACCAGCACCACCAGCACCATCAGCACCACCACCACCAGCACCAGCACCACCACCACCAGCAGCACCAGCAGCACCAGCACCACCACCAGCACCACCACCAGCACCACCACCAGCACCACCACCAGCACCACCACCAGCACCACCACCAGCACCACCACCAGCACCACCACCACCACCACCTCCCCCCCCCCCCCCCCCCCACACACACACACACCACCACCACCAGCACCACCACCAGTCGCAGTCAGTGTGGTCTCATCAGCAGGATAGCATACAAGAGCAGTAGAGAAGACAAGAAGATGGCTGGCTGTGTTCTTGTCTTGATTAGCTGATAAGGGCAGTGGACAGCAGGTGCTTGACATGTCCTGACCTGCCGCTGCTGCTACTTCTCTTGCTGCTCTTGCTTGTGTGTTGTGTGCACCAAAGCAATTAGTAGAGCAGGCAAGCAGACAGTCAGCAGATGAACAGTGGTTATGGGGTTAGGATCAGTAGCTCTGTGACAGTCATGTAGAGAGTGGCCCTGCAGCCTAGTAGCCTGTGTTTGCAATTGTGGTTTGTACATGCTAGGTGGTAGGACTGTGATCATCACGGTGTGGTGTTTATTTAGTGCTTGCCTTGCATGGCTGTGCAGGCTGGTGACAGTGTGAGCTTGACTGGTACATGGTGTTCAGTGCTTTCCACTAGAGTGTGATTTGGCTAATGTGCTGATCACGCCATGCTACATTTAAAATGCTTTCTAACGGTCATGAGCTGTTGGCGGGCTTTTCCAACGGCCTCCACTCCCCGGGCCGATGTCAGTGTCACTGCTGCTGTCCGAGCAGCTGTGCAGAGCTGTGATCAGTGCAGAACATGGGTGTAGGATAGTCTTGATAGGAAATCGAGGGCCTTTGCCCTGGCTAGCATGGTCATATTCAATGGAGAGTGTGTGTGTGTGGGGGGGGGGGGGGGGGCTTTAGCGCCTTGTAGACAACTGGCAAGGCTAGTATAAGTCCATGTTCTTGACACGCACACACTTGCACGGACTCGGCACGGACTCGGCAATGGCTGGCCCGATTGTCAGTCACAATGATGGGATTAATTCACTGCATCCTAGATCCTTGACAATTCTAATATCACACGACCTGAATTGTCCCCGTTTTGTATTACTGTGTGATGGTCGCAGCCGAGCCTGAATCTCGTGTTGAGATGCACCTGAATCTTGTCCCTCCTTCCTTCATGTGCACTCTGCTATCAGCTGCAGAGCATTACTACACATTACAGTAAAACCAGGGTTCTAGCCAGGTCAATATAGTAGGGGGGCGGGCATGGGAAAAAGTTACCCCATGACCCATTTTTTCCATTGTCCAAAATTGTATTGCCATACAAAATACAGGGTGAACCCCGACTTCACCCCTCACAAATATGCCTTTATGAACCCTCTAGTAGTGACAATCGACTGTATTTTCGTTGAATGGCGTGAAAAAACACAAAAATCGGAAAATGAGTAGGGGGGGCGGCACTTTTTCACAGGGGGGCGCACAAACGGAGTAGGGGGGGGGGGGCGCTGCGCCCCCCTTCCCCCCTTTGGCTAGAACCCTGGTAAAACCTGTAACTAACGACCACCCCTTGGGGCCAGAGAAAGCGGTCTTTAGTGGCAGGTGGTCCTTAGTTAGAGGTTTGCACCGCACAGCCATAATATGAATGTGAGACTGGACGTCCGTGCCTGGCGAAGTGGTCTTTAGTAGCAGGCTGGTCGCTAGTCATCATGGTCTTTAGTTACAGGTTTTACTGTAGTAGCAGGCTGGTCGCTAGTCATCATGGTCTTTAGTTACAGGTTTTACTGTACATGCATCCTTTAATAGATTCTGTATGTTGCGTGCTTGTGTATGCAATGTGCTCCATGGCATCACAGACTGGAGCAGCTGTCACCCGAGGCGTACAGCGCGTACACAATGGAAGCTCCGATCAGCGACGTAACCAGTGACTACGCTTCCAGCATCCCTAGCAACGGCGCCATGGCAACCAGCACCAGCTACTCGTTTCTCCAGCAGCCGTGCGGCATCGCGTCGTTCCGTTGCCACGCCAAGCGCACCATGGAGACGTACGGCATGGTTGTGTTTGGACTGGAGGACATGGAGGCGGTGTATCCGCTGCTCAAGTCCACCGGGCGACGTTTGGCCAGACGAGGCGTTCTTGCTCAACACGCTCATGTGAGTATCCTGGTTACCATGGTTACGCATCGTATGCATACACTGTATATATACATGTAATAGGGCTTAAACGTGATGACGTCAGAAGATAGCGTATGACATCATGAATCATGGATACTGGAGAACAGACTGTTCGTAGGTCTAGGCTACTAGGACAGGACAGGCTCGGGTCCGTTAGATCTACACAATCAATTGTCATTTGTTGCCACCGGATGTTGCAGTCAGATCTGGTTTACCCAAGCCTCCTTCAGCTTGTTCCTTGCCAACGGGGACGATGTGTAGAGAATCATGATTGCAGCAAGAATCTTGAGTGCAATGTATAAGTTAAGTCGCCCAGCTCCCTGGCTAGCCATGTGTGTTCCAGCTCCCTGGCTAGCCATGTGTGTTCCAGCTCCCTGGCTAGCCATGTGTGTTCCTGTGACAAACAGCTTGTGCCGTGGGTGTGGGTTGAACGAATCTTATACTGTACAACGGGGCCTGAAACGTTACACGGTATCATCATCATCATCCTTATCTGTGTAGTTTAGTACAGGTCTGCCCTCGTTCGTAGATAACCCCAGGGGTGAGATAACCCCAGGGGTGAGATAACCCCAGCAGGGGTTTCAATTTGTTTGTCTTATAACGGGTTTCATCTACTAGTACTGTCCGGACGTGAATGTACGCGTTTCAGGCTTCGGGGGATTTTTGATCGTTGTCTACGACAGTACTGTCGGGCGCCGAAGAACGGCCAGGCTAGAATTTCACCAAGCACAGCATGCCAATATATACATGAAGACTCAACTGTGCATAGACTGTAATACATGAAAATAAGAACGGTCTAGGCTAGGAGGCTGACCACCCAGTTCTTCGGCGACCGACAATACTGTAATGAAGTTTGTCTTGTAACCTATGTCATACTAACCAGGGTAGACCTGTATCTTGAATAGAGAAGTTTGTGATTGAACCCAATATTACTATCAGAGCATTACAAGCGCAATGTTCAAACCATTATTAGACTAACGTTATGCTTCCTGCTGCCATTGTCGCTGCTTGTTATGTTATTGCAGGCATTGTCGCTAAGCATGCTGGGAATGCTGGAGCAGGTGTTTGTGACCGAGTGGTGCACGCCGTGGCAGAGTGCCTGGTCATCTCTGACAGCGCTGGTTGAGTACGGCCACCTGGCCGGAATGCATCATGAGCGCTCCTCGTCCATGGCTGCGCCGTCCGCAACACAGCCGTTGCATCTACCTCTCTGTCCAGACCTCGTACCCGACCAGCGCAATCTTTCGTCACCGTCTGCCGGATCATGGTCTGCATCGTCAGCCGGCTCCTCTTTCTCTCTCTCCCCGCAGAGTCTCTCTTCTTCTTCCACTTCCTCTTCGTCTTCATCGGCGCGATTATCAACCAGCGCATTCTCTTGCGGCAGCGATGACTCATCACCACCCAAGTGCCCGTCATCGCGAGACCTCAGCTGGGCTACGTCGCGGGCGTCCGTGCACGCCTGGGCACCGGCCGACGACCTAGTGCTGCCCTCGCGCCCAGCCCGTCAGCAGAACTGGTGCATCAACATACCGGCGCTGCTGCGCTCCAGCAAGAAGCACCGTCGCCGTAGCGACCCCATTCCGTCCAGCAAGACAACGGCCGGTAGCAGTAGCAGTAGCAGTGGTGGCAGCAAGCATTCGACCATGCCCAAGTGGCTGGCTAGGTCTCCCATGCTGCGCTCCAAGTTCAGCCATGACCACACGGCGGAGTCAGGCACTAACACCTTGCCTGCTGCACGTCACAGCACCGAGGTAGGCGGACAACAGCAGGCCGGTAGGAGATCATCAACACTGAGATATGCACCTCGTCGTTGATCTGTAACAGCCTTGCTACGCTGTTGTCCACCACCAGCTTCCAAGCACTTCTTCATCACTGCATACGCAGAACTACACTTGGAGTGCATGGTGTGTCCCAGTCCCAAGCAGTGCCTAACTTAGTTGCTATGCATGTGTGGACTATTACTGGCGTGGGTATTAGTACGCGTGCTGCTGGGTAGAACCGGTTGCCTTGATGTGTCACTTTGCGCTTGCCTTGATGTCGTGACTACCCGCCTAACCAGAACCTGTGAATGTCTAACGGCACATGTGTATGTGTGTGTGTATGTGAGGTTGATTGATGTGTGTATGTGCGTGCGTGCTAATTTGTTAACACCTAATTCTGGCCTCTGTTTCCCATGCTGTGAGGCTGTAGTATATGCACCAGGGTCTGTGTTGCTGCATGCTCAGCATGATTTTGCCTTACATTTCTTTTTGTTCTGAGCATAACATTTGATGATGTTGCCGAGTGCAGGGTGTGATCTTCTTCTGGTGCACGTCGTAACAAGCTGATCATGCTAACCTTTGATTATGTGAAGTTTTGAAGACACATAAACACTTGAGTCCTGACCTTATAATCACAACTAATTTTGTTTGTTTGCTCTGGACCCATCAGGCGGGCGTGTGCGTGTATGCTGGGATTTCACTGTTGAATGGTGTAACCCCAGCACAAGTCACATGTCTAACATGGCTTGTTCGCTATCATCGCTTCAGCGATGGGCATGTGAAAGTGTAAGTGTGTTATATGCCTATTATGGTGGCTGTGCATGTGAGCCATGCATGTGAGCACGGCATATGCTCACTACCAATAATTCTTGGTGTTTCTGCATGTGGAAGGAGAAAGAAGCTGTAAATCCAAGAACTCGTGGTGTTTCTGCATGGGGAAGGAGAAAGAAGCCGTAAAATTCTACCGGAGAAGAAAATCTAAGATAGCCATCCCAAACCCCGATCACCATCCCCTCCTGGAATGATTACTTTTATTAGCCTATCATCAGAGTTCAGCAAGTGTTTCTTCTTGGCTTGCCGAGGGCTGAACTCTTGCTGTTTCTGCCTGAGGAAGGAGAAACAAGGCGGAACATTCTACCGGAGAAGAAAATGTCTACCCAGTAGTAACGTTAGCTGCAAATGCTAAGATGTGTGTCGCAACCAGGGAGTCGTAAAATACCGGTATTTTACGACTCCCTGGTCGCAACGAACACGCCAGGCAGACACAACAATAGGCAATCTAAAGCCAAGCCAGCGGCAGCTTTGCTGGAGAGAAGATGAGACAAGAGTTGGAAGTAACAATGGTAAAGTGTGCCGTGCTTGCACTGCACCCGGATTGAGATAGCAATAAAAACAAGCAAGGAGATTAAAATTGAATACTCTCGAGGAGGTCTTGATCTATGAGGCAGGGGCAAAAAAATATCAATCAATAAATACCCGTGACGCAGAGCCGTAGGGATTGCTTCCTAGCTGACACAGTCACCGGAGAAAGAGAACAACATAAACGTGTTCGTCTATATTCAGTATGGAAAAAAAACGTCTATTCGCATGATCGCATGATCGCATGATGGCATGTCGCATGATTGCATGATGTCAGTTGAACTTTGAAATGGAAATCTACTACATGTACGTCACTGTCAAAGTGACGTCAAAACAATATAGGATAATTAGTTAAGCTGATGAGAGAGAGGAGAGAGAGAGAGAGAGAGAGAGGGAGAGAGAGAGAGAGCGAGAGAGAGAGAAAAAAGGAGAGGAGAGGGAGAGAGCATGAAAGCCCAATGTTCAATACTCGGCGGCGACACCGCTAGATTCATCCTGGAGCCCTGTGATCCCAATGCACACAGTGAATGCTCCAGTCAATACTGGCTCACAACACCATGCATAGCAGTGCATGCTCCAGTCAATACTGGCTCACGGCACCACGCATAGCTCTTCAGCTACACTGGTAAACCACCACAACTGAGATGGGACCATACCAACTGCCGCGGGGTCACATGATGTGTTGCAATGCAGAAATAGTTTACCTGCGTTTGACACAAACACACGCGCGCACACACACATGTGTGCATGCACGGGCACTTACAAGTATGCGTGCACACAAACACACGATGGGTCGCCCTGTGAATGCACAATGAAACATTTTTGAATCACTGTGATCTCTGAACGGGCTGGCGCGAGCTGGAAGCACCGAGGCAGGACAAACTGGCACCGAGACCCTGGCCTACAGGCAGGGTCTAGCAGCAGTGCTCAGGGCATGCTGTCGTTGCTACTGCTGGTGCTTCCACTGCTGTTGCTGCAGTTGCTGAGGGCCAGAGCACAGTAACGTACTACACCTGAGCCGGTGGCAGCGGCGACGTGATCACATAACACAAGCGTGACTATTTGATGCGATGTAGAATGTCCTCGGTGATGTGCTGCAGTACATGCCGTTCATCACTGGCGTCTAGGTGTCGGAGTGCTGTCAGTGCCTGCTCACAGTGCTGCTGGGCTAACTCACGACTACGCTCTATGCCACGACTCTGTAGCAACACCAACAAGAGGAACAGCGACAACGACACCGACACAGACACCACCACCACCACCAGCAGCAGCAAACAGAACACATGGCCACACAGCCCAAGGACACAGTATTAGTATTGCTGGTGCATCATAGATGTGCAAGACAGTGAATTGCTAGACGAAAGACCTCCCACAACCAGGCTAGCCCGGAAGAGTAGGTACTGGCAGCTGCCTAGCTTCCTATAACCTGTACAATCCGTGTGATCCCAGGTTTTTCTTTTTCTTTTACGAGATACAGAAACCCAACTCTGAGAAAAGGATAAAGCAGAGGGAGAAGAACAGTAAGCAGAGACCGTGACAAACAAACGCAGTAACACCTGTCAAGGTGAACACTCTGAAAAGGCGACCACCTGTTGGAGAAGGCCACTACAAGCAGGACCAAGGGATGTTTTTTTCCAGTCAAATGACCCTGGGTAAGGAGACCACCTGTAAATGGGGACCCCATTTTTAAACAGGTTTCACTGTACTGTGTCAGGGATGCAGGTGCAGCTACAGAGGTATTGCATAGCGGACTCCAATGATCACTGGCCTTGTCCTCACAGAACACCACACACAACACACCTGCCACCAACACTAGCCGATCTTCACTTGCACGCATAGACAATCGGTAGACCTACAGTGCTTCTCAATGAAATACGCTCATGTGAGTCCAGCACGCGTCGGGCGCTGTGCAGCCCTACACCGGAGACAGCTGGGATTCGAACAAACTTGACTCACGTGATCGGATTTGATTGAACAGCACTGTCAATAATTATTGTGAAACACACACACACCTTGGCTATGTACTCCTGTGCTCGCTCTACATCACCACTGATAGAGAACCTTCGGATGATGAGATCATTCAGTTCAGGATACTGTAAGCAGGAAAACAAACAAACAAACAAACACACGCATACACACACACACACACACACACACGCGCGTGCACGCACACACGCGCGCGCGCACACACACACACACACAGTTGGAGTAAGTATGGTGTAGAGCATAGTCCCCAGGCGGAATGACTGCATTTGCATGTGCTGCATATTCATGCCAGCAAACCATGCCTTTCAATCTTCTCTGGCAGAGCACAGCCAAACACTATGTCATACACACATGTGTCTGCTCTCAGAATGACATCAGAGAGCAGAATGTCCAATTAGCTTTCTTGCTGTCATATGGAGCTAATTCTTGCTGTAGATACATCCTGTTTTCATTAGCTGCTGGAGCTGGTTCCTGTTCAACTGCTTCCAAATGAACAAATACTGGTACATAATTACACTGTAAAACCTGTGTTTAGTGACCACTCAACTTCATGCTGCACACAATACCGGTCTCTGAAGACAGGTGGTCTGTCTGCATCAGTCGTAATGTATGTTAAAACATGGCTGGTCCCTGGTCTCCCAAAACAGGTGGTCTCTCACAAGGTCATACTGTAATGGTCTGCCAACACAGGTTTTACTGTACTGTACTGTATGTACTGTACTGTACTGGTGGTTAGAAAGAAAAGGAGAGAGAGAGAGAGAGAGAGAGAGAGAGAGAGAGAGAGAGAGAGAGAGAGAGAGAGAGAGAGAGAGAGAGAGAGAGAGAGAGAGAGAGAGAGAGACACACACACACACACACACACAGAGAGAGAGAGAGAGAGAGAGAGAGAGAGAGAGAGAGAGAGAGAGAGAGAGAGAGAGAGAGAGAGAGAGAGAGAGAGAGAGAGAGTGAGTGAGAGAGAGATAGAGAGAGAGATAGAGAGAGAAAATACTGCATAGAAAAACTCTGCACAAGCTAGTACCTCTTCAGCAGCATAGAGCACAGGCGCCGTGGCCAGGCCTTGGCGTAAGTCATTCGCTGCTGGCTTGCCCAGTGTGTCAGTGGTGGAAATGAAATCCAGTACATCATCGATGATCTACACAGGGCAAACACAGCATCATGGAACTTTAGGAGCTGTATGCACGCACACTCGTGTGTATAAGAGAGAGAGAGAGAGAAGAGAGAGAGAGAGAGAGAGAGAGAGAGAGAGAGAGAGAGAGAGAGAGAGAGAGAGAGAGAGAGAGAGAGAGGAAGGGAGGGGGAGCAAAAGCGAGAGAGACCCCCATTCATGCACGCACAAAAGAGGAAAGGAAGATTGAAGACATGCACCCACATAAATGGGAACGGACAGGAGAGAGCAACACAGTCTACTCCAAAAACAACAACAATGGGTTACAACTTTTCTATTCAACCTTTTTTTGGGTACCATGGAAACCTGTGAAACAAAAGGAGCTCACCCCCCCCCCCCCCCCCCCCCACCAATACCCGCCTCACACATTCCCCTCCCCCCTCCACCTCACACATCCCCCCCCCCCCCCCCCCCCGGCGCCCGGCATACATGTCCAGAGTGTAGTGGTAGTAACTGACCTGAAATGCCAGACCGGTATGTCGACCGAATGAGTAAGCTGCCTGCTGTATCTCCACAGCGTGTGTGGAGAGCAGGGCCACGGCCTGACAGCAGTGTGCCAACAGTGACGCCGTCTTGCGGAAACTCTTCTCCAGATAGTGAGCAAAGCGATCTGTGTTCTCTTCACGATTACCTAATTGCATGAACTCACCTAGAGCCACACCAGTGCCAGCAACAGCAGCAGCACCACCACCAATACCAACACCAGCAGCAGCAGCAAGAAAGAAATAAGCACAGAGTGTTCTTGAAGCAACCAACATGAAGAGCGGGGCAAGAGCGGGTCGTCGTAAAGTTTTTTTTCAAGCATAGCCAATATAGCACAGATCTGGGTTAGCATTGCAAATGGCAAGCATAGACATCTAGATGGCGGCAAGCATACACATACCATGTACAAGATCTTCAATGATCCTGGAGAGCAGTTCTACAACCTCTGGATGACGTGTCCTGGCCAGAGCGAGAGTACAACGAGCTAGAATGTAGTCTCCTGCCAATATTGTCTACACCACAAGTAAACACACAGTTAAGACGGAGAGAGAGAGAGAGAGAGAGAGAGAGACAGAGAGAGAGAGAGAGAGAGAGACAGAGACAGAGAGAGAGAGAGAGAGAGAGAGAGAGAGAGAGAGAGAGAGAGAGAGAGAGACACACACACACACACACACACAGAAAAAGTGATGTGATCAACATGATTGTTTTCAAAAAGACAACACCCGTGGACACTCTGAAATTTATCTCGGAATCAAATATTATCAATTAATCATAGTCTCACTATTACAAAGCTTTCAAATTCTCAAGATACGACAGCAGAGAGCGAACGTCAGCCCGTTCCTAGTTGTGGTCACAGCTACGATTAGGCGCAATCCCCTCTACATTACTGCCAGAGCACACCTAGCATTGAGAGTACATAACCTGTGTGCAACTCCAGCGACGGCAGAACCCCATATCGCGTGACAAACCCGTACAGATAAATTTGCTCCCTGTGCATGATAAATACAGGGTTGTGTGCAACCCAGTGTTGGGTCCAACTCTTTTGTTGTCACTTCGCACTGTTTGCCAGCGTAACCAATTGAACCATGTCGCGTGATGCGAAGTTCTGCCGTACCAGCTCTGGATAGAGGCTGTGCAGGCAGTTGCACACTCTTGGTGTTGTGTACTCTTGCTAGGATGTACAGAAGACAGTGGACTGGACGCGCAATGAAAATGAAGTGTATACAGAGTACACACAAACCTGTAGGGCGAAATTGCACATTGTGCACACGGTCTATAACAGACAATACACAGGACACTTCCTTACCATTTTCTCTCCCCACTGTTTATTGATGGCTGGCTTGCCCCGCCGGCACTCAGCGTTGTCTATGACATCATCGTGGACTAAACTAGCGGTGTGGATCATTTCTGATACCAGTCCAACAGTGTATTGGTGATCTAGCAGTACACTAGATAACATAGATCATGCACACACACACATGCACATGCACACACATGCACACACACAAAGTAGATATCAAGGTGGTGGTATCACAAAATTATTGTTGCACGAGGGAAGACAAGACAGCGAGTAAGAATTCAAGCAAGTGTATATTGGCACTGCAAGCAAACATGCACACAAAACAATTGGCGAACAAGAAGGGACACAGCCATATAAGCCCCCCCCCCCCCCCCCCCCCACAAACACACACAAACAACATCCATTGTTCACTTGCTTGTTCACGCATACAGGATGCAGAAATCCTGGCAATAGTCAGTTGTACCACGGCTTACCTCTTTCCCAATGAATGTTGATTACATGCTCTTGCCATGAGAAACACTATCATTGGGCGCAGGTGCTTGCCATTACCATCAAAGTAATACTGACTAACTTCGGATAAATTTGATAACTTGGATGAGATTTCCTGTAAGGCAAGAACAAGAACGGGATGGAAGAGATACATGCTTTGTTTGTACCCACTGCACGAAAGGAGAGTAAAGCTGTGTTCACAACTGGCGCGTGTACGCGTGAAACCACGCGTTTGTACGCGTGAAACCACGGGTTTGTGCGTATTTTTGCTGGCTTTTGGGGCGCCATGCGTACGGAAACGCGCCGAATTTTCAGGGCGTATCAGGCGCGTACCAGCGTATATGCCAATCACTTCGACTGGCGGGGTCACAAAATTAGTACTCGAAGGTGTCGCACGCGCTAAATACGACTCGGATTGCTGTTTTTTGTGAAAGCTTGAGCGCACGTGTGGGCACGCATGAACCGCAAGCGCACCGCGTCCACGCACCAGTTGGGAACACAGCTTAAGGCAAAAATCAGTTGGTGAGTGTGTGTGGGGGGGGGGGGGGGTATGAGAGAGAGAGAGAGAGAGAGAGAGAGAGAGAGAGAGAGAGAGAGAGAGAGAGAGAGAGAGAGAGAGAGAGAGAGAGAGAGAGAGAGAGAGAGAGAGAGAGAGAGAGAGAGAGAGAGAGAGAGACAGACAGAGAGAGAGACAGACAGAAAGAGCGAGCGAGAGAGAGAGAGAGAGAGAGAGAGAGAGAGAGAGAGAGAGAGAGAGAGAGAGAGAGAGAGAGAGAGGGAGAGGGAGAAAAGAGTGAGAATGCAGGAACACCATCACCTCCACTATGCTGTACTTGAGACAAATGAGGAAGTAACAAACATGGCTTACATCTCGTATACTGCCATGCAATCGATTAATATCCTGTGCGACGGCGTTGCGACAGTCTTCTAGTCTCTCCATTGCTACAGGTGGCGCATGCAGGATGTGAGCTGTTCGAGATGAACAATGACGTAAGCTGTGAACGCATACACACAGCACAGAGCACAGAGCACCACACACAAACATACATTGCATGATGGGGGGTCAACGCATGAGAATAATATTTTCGGAAATTCAATGAAAAGACAGCATGAACAAAAAGGGCTCATTTACAAAACTTCCATTCGATACGGACAAGGGAAGAATAAATAAGTCATACGTCGAAGTCTGGGCGAACAAGTATTCCACTTTCTGAACAAACCAGCCAAAAGCTCGGATATATTATTAGCACCATCAGCGGATGTATTGGAAGCAAGCAAAGTAGTACACAGTATGTGCAGGCAAAGCATACTATGCATGAAATGTACAGTGTACTAGTCTAGAGTGAACAAAATGAACGACCATACTCCAACAACAACAGCTCAGAACAGACTCCAACAACAACAGTTCAGAACAGACTCCAACAATAACAGCTCAGAACATACTCCAACAACAACAGTTCAGAACAGACTCCAACAACAACAGCTCAGAACAGACTCCAACAGCAACAGTTCAGAACAGACTCCAACAACAACAGCTCAGAACATACTCCAACAACAACAGCTCAGAACAGACTCCAACAACAACAGTTCAGAACAGACTCCAACAACAACAGCTCAGAACAGACTCCAACAACAACAGTTCAGAACAGACTCCAACAACAACAGCTCAGAACAGACTCCAACAACAACAGCTCAGAACATACTCCAACAACAACAGCTCAGAACAGACTCCAACAACAACAGTTCAGAACAGACTCCAACAACAACAGCTCAGAACAGACTCCAACAACAACAGTTCAGAACAGACTCCAACAACAACAGTTCAGAACAGACTCCAACAACAACAGTTCAGAACAGACTCCAACAACAACAGCTCAGAACAGACTCCAACAACAACAGCTCAGAACAGACTCCAACAACAACAGCTCAGAACAGACTCCAACAGCAACAGTTCAGAACAGACTCCAACAACAACAGCTCAGAACATACTCCAACAACAACAGCTCAGAACAGACTCCAACAACAGTTCAGAACAGACTCCAACAACAACAGCTCAGAACAGACTCCAACAACAACAGTTCAGAACAGACTCCAACAACAACAGTTCAGAACAGACTCCAACAACAACAGTTCAGAACAGACTTCAACAACAACAGCTCAGAACAGACTCCAACAACAACAGTTCAGAACAGACTCCAACAACAACAGTTCAGAACAGACTCCAACAACAACAGTTCAGAACAGACTCCAACAACAATAGTTCAGAACAGACTCCAACAACAACAGTTCAGAACAGACTCCAACAACAACAGCTCAGAACAGACTCCAACAACAACAGTTCAGAACAGACTCCAACAACAACAGCTCAGAACAGACTCCAACAACAACAGTTCAGAACAGACTCCAACAACAACAGTTCAGAACAGACTCCAACAACAACAGCTCAGAACAGACTCCAACAACAACAGCTCAGAACAGACTCCAACAACAACAGTTCAGAACAGAACTCCAACAACAACAGCTCAGAACAGACTCCAACAACAACAGCTCAGAATATACTACAACAACAACAGCTCAGAACATGTTCCAACAACAACAGTTGAGAACACATCCCAACAACAACAGCTCAGAACCTACTCTAACAGCAACAGTTCAGAACACACTTCAACATCCAGAGTTCAGAACATACTCCAACAACAACAGCTGAGAACATACTCCAACAGCAACAGTTCAACAACTGAGCCAATGACACGCAACAACTGTTGCTAGTATGAAGTCGGTGTGGTTACAGGGGATAAGCTAGCACACAGCTATCACAGCACACTAGACTGTAGACTGGACAGGAACACAAACCTAGTGGTAAATATCACACTAGCACCACACCCTACACACCCAGAACACACACACAAAACAAGGCAGGTCCAGCATACACAGGCCCTGGAAATGCGATAAGTACATAAAACACCACAGCCACAGTGCTCAGAATTCACACAGGAGGCGCAGGTACTACAGCACAATCAAGTGAAATCCCACCACAGTGCATACCGTATTTTCCACGAATATAAGTCGCACCTTTTTACAGTAGAATTCAAGGGCAAAAAAGGAGGTGTGACTTACAACCGAGCATGACCTACAATACTACTGAAGTGACATTATCCAAACAATATGGCTCAAGCCTGAAAGTGGGGTTGCGACTTATAATCGAGTGTGACTTATACTCGGGGAAATACGGTATTTGGCGCCCTGGACTTGCCACGGCCCTTGGTGCACCAGAAGCGGTGCGAATGCTGCTGCACGTACACACATACTTCGAAGTACAAATACAGCGATGTAATCAGAACTGTCACAGGGCACCGGCTTCGTACTTTGGGTCGGATTTCACCTAGTAAAACTGCCACACCCACAAACAACTACACACGGACGACGAGAACAGAAAAAAAGGTGTGACAGAAAATTTCCAGTTTCACCTCTGGACCCTCATATCAATCCCTGATCGATCCGTGATCAATGTTACCCTGGTGCAGCAATGGATATTAGGAGACAGGGTGGGACGTTGCATAGCGACAACAACGGACAGCTATTATGTGGGTGAGACATTAGAGAAAGTTCATATATTACGTAGTCGCCACTGGGAGGTGTTTCTGCGACCATAACACCCCTTTGAAGGAGCGAAACAGCTGTCTAGAGGCGTAATAATTATCTGTCGACGGAAGTGTCCTTGCTGTGCTTCGCGCATTGGTTCAGCTGAGAGTGCGTGGTGGTGACGGGTTAATGTAGTAAATAACACCGCTCGTGTTGATAAATCTACAGACCACTCTTTGACTTGTACTCTTGTTGTTTTCTAACTTCATTTCAATCAGGCCAGTCACTCAACAGGGTCAACACAGTTAACTGCATGGAGACTGAGCAGCACCCAGTACACAGCACAGAACACCGCCACCGTCCAACAAACTACTACTCTGTGCCAACACCCTCCTGTGCTCTGCTGAATCGTAAGTTGGAGCGCTCCGACAAGGTATGCCCGTCCCTGACTACACAGTCATGTTAGCTACGACAATCTAGGCTCATCACCATGTTTAACAATCTAGGCTCATCACCATGTTTAACAATCTAGGCTCATCACCATGTTTAACAATCTAGGCTCATCACCATGTTTAACAATCTAGGCTCATCACCATGTTTAACAATCTAGGCTCATCACCATGTTTAACAATCTAGGCTCATCACCATGTTTAACAATCTAGGCTCATCACCATAATGTTTAGCTTCATTGCTCTGCATTATGCACACTAAAACTTCACACACAGTTGTACACTAGTATTTAGGCACTGCCTGTATGCCGCTCGTTCGTCCTTCATTATGGTGACTCCGTGAGTGGGTGTCAATTAGAACAAACCTTCTCGTTTTGTGATACATGTAATAAGAGGTGACATTTTAGAGACGCCGCTCGTTCACAATCCACAACTGTCCAGCAGTTACGACGGAATACAACCAATAATTTCGGTGCGGGCAGTATAACTGACTCAGTGCAGTCTACTGCTGTCACTCACTCAATCTAACGGAAACAGACAGTCTCATGCAGGATGGTGTGGGTGGTATAGCCGTGCCACAGCTGAACCCCTCCCCCTCCCCCCCCCCCCCCCCCCACACACACACACACACAGGCCCTCTGATAATCTTATTGGTTTGTTCAACTGGCGAAAAACCTATGTGTTGTGCGTGTGCTCAGCACACAATCTACACAATCGTTACAAGTTGAATACACAACACAGCACTTGATCACCAATTTTCAGCACAGCACGTTACACTTGACAACCACACTCCATGCACACGTGTGCATTGAAGTCCGAACATCAGACTAGTCAGTGCTCTCTCACTGCAAAGTACAATGTGCTAGGGAGACTAGAACAGTAGACTTCTTTATCAGTAGCGATGTCAGGGTAAATTTCTGTTTTGAGAATCGGGCAAATATTGTAATACCATCCGATTCCTGAAGACAAGTAGAGTATACTGGCAAAGTTTGAAGCAAATCGGAGCAAATATAGTGGACTTATTCCAGTTTAGAGTGCGCGGGGTAAGCGCCGCCATTGTCGAAAAGCACCATGCCTCACTGTACACAAGCCAGATCTCACCACGGCACAAAATCGGTCTTGACAACAGGGATCGCGGCTCATGAATAATCTTGCGCACTGTACAAAATGTACATAACGTAGCTGTACCGTTTTTTTGTTGTTGTTGCTGCAAACTGTTGGAGAAATTCAAGAAGACTGTTGAAGAGTAGCCGAAGTATGAGTTGTGATTTGGCCATTCTCCGAGGCAAGAAGAGTTCGACAAGTAGATTATGATCCTGGTGGTGGTCCGCTTTGAACTTCATCAGTTCTAACACCAATGCATTTGAAACGTTTCCGATCATGCTAGGCAGGGGCTTATCCTGCAATAGCTGCTCCTCCTTGAGTCCAAGACTCGACAAAACATCTTCACCGCCGGTCCCTTTGCTGGACGAACACTCATGATGGCGTTGTATCCAGCAATGGAGTACCTGTCGCGAAAAATACTACAAGTCTGGTGCGCGGCGTGATACGCCGGTGAAACTTGGCAGCAAACTAAATTGGACGACGGGGAACACGATGGAACTAAAATCAAACCTGTATCAGGCAGTTGTGATAGAGTGGTCCCATGGTAACAGGACTTGGCCAAGCATGCGCATGCTCCAAAGTTGTTGCGCAATGATGTAGTGCCGGTTGTTGTGTTGAGCCCGATTTTGATGGCGGCTGGTATGTAGTCTTTTCCTTTTTGTACTTCCCGTTTCATGTTTGTTCAGTCCTAATAATTATAATATTCCCGTCCTATCCGGTTGTGTTGCTGCGGAGTCCGGGAGGAGAGTTTTCAGTCACAAGTGGTGCCGAAACCCGTTTGCTGAACCTAGTCTTATTCGTTTTTTCTGACAGTGTTTTTGGTCGACGGCCTGTATAGTGATGGCGTCGGGTCCTCGCGT